CATTGTATTCATTGTCTTTTTTTTCATTGTAATTCAATGTATCTCGCTGTATTCCATGTATTTCATTGTATTCAGTGTCTTTTTTTATTGTATTTCAATGTATCCCGCTGTATTCTATGTATTTCATTGTATTCACTGTCTAGCTATATGCCATGAATGTATTCATATATTTTTTTTAATTAATATAATTTATGTATTCATATGTATTATATAATTTCTCTGAAGATTGCTATGTTTTTGAGGTATTTTTCGGTTGAGAATCTTTTTTATAAATGTAAAAACAAAATTTGTATGTTATAATTGAGTTTGTTGAGTTATATTAGGAGTCTATTATGTTAATTGATTCACTTTCCGTTTAAAAACAGTGTAATCCCCTATTTCACGCCGTGAATACAGTCGAATACAATATTCTGTCCAGCTGTAATCCCATGTTTTACGCCATGAATACAGTCAAATACACTCGAATACAACAACTGATTAGCTGGACTTCCCTGATTCACGCCTATTTTTGCTACTGTATTCATGAATACAGTAGCTTAAATATATCTTATAATAGTATAATACGTATCTACAATCCGTAATATAGCAAATGGTATCTATAGATAGCTAATTACCACTAACACTCTGTTTGGATCATTGTTCCCCATCGTTTTATAATGTATTGTATTATATTGTATCATATTGTACCGTATCGTTTTATGAATACAATGTTTGGATAGATTGTATTGTTTGTTGTTGTTAAATAATATTTTGTTGTTTGGTTTGATTGTATCGTACTGTACTGTAACTGATAAGTTTACTAAAATACCCTCAATTGTTTAAATATTAAATTTATCAAAAATTATGCGTAAAAATAATTTTAAAAAACAAAACAGAAGAAGGCAAAACACAATAAGAAAGCAAAACAAAGGAGCGAGACAGAAGAAGGCAAAACAAAGGAGCACAACTAATTATAATTGAGTTACAAGCAAATCAGGAGAAAAAATAAAACAGAAGGCAGCGAAACACCTTTTAACATTGGTCTGGAAAAAAATAAAGTAGGTTATAAGTTGGAGATTTGGAGTTAAAATAGAAAAAAAGATAAAGGGTAAAATAGAATTATAGAGTAATAAGTTAGGGCATACTTGGAAAGAAAAATAGGAAACAATCCCACCACACAAAATCGGTTGTTTCAAAAAAGGGGACTTATCATTGTTCCGGAACAATGGATTTAACAATACAATATAACCAATTTTAATGAAACAATCAAAACAAACATTGTTTTGGGATAACAACACAATACCATACAATGAAGAACAACCATCCAAACAAGCTGTAAAAAATAGTGCTTTATGAAAATTTGTCATCTTCAATTATGTTATAAATAGAATTTTATTTATGGTGAATGTCTATATTTAAAGAGATTCTAGGGTTTATTACTTGGTGGCTAAGTCACCCTCTCCCTATAAATAGAGGGTTATATTCCATTGTAATTCATCCCAAATCAATAAGAATTCTCTCTCCCTACTTTTCTCTGAAATACTATTCTTCTTCTTTTTATTGTTTCATAACACGTTATCAGCACGAGACTCTAACCAATTGAGTAGAAGCTTTGGGATTGATCATAATGATTGTCAATTGTTCTATGAATTTCCTTCATGCTTAAATTCTGGATTTAAGGTAAGTATTTTACCGTATTTTTCTCTTTTATTCTATAATTTGATTTTATATACAAGCAAAGACAACAAAGTTTGATTATAACTCTAATGGAGTTCGTAAGAAATTATAACCACCTGAAGTGGTAAAATTTCTATGTCTTGCCATGATCAAATTCATGTATGATTATGGGCACAAAAAGTGGAAACCTGTCCCATTGAATTTGCTCCATTCTCATTCCCTTAAGAGAATGTTGGTAGCAGTATGTGATAAGTCTGAAAGAAGATAAAATTACTACTATGAATATATTAATGGATGTGGACGTGGCAATAGATGAAATTATAATCGTCATCATTGTGATAATGAGAATAATAAGGATTCTCAAAATAATCCTTCACTCTATGAAAGCAATATCCGTCATCGATTTGACATGAGATTTTATAAAGCACATATAGATGATTATGGTCCATTCATGATGTGAATGTGACAACATCTTATTTATGAATACGTATTCATTCTTCAAAGAATATGAACGTGCTAGTGGTAGTGAATATACCGCACTCACCTCTAAAAGGAGGTTTGAGATGATATAAGAAAATAATGTCATTATTATGGCATGAATGGTCATTGGTCACGTACCTATTGTACGCCAAAATATTTTGGCATTGTGATTGTTAAAAGACAACGGTAATGCAAGAAACAGATCTTGCATATAATTTTGACCATAACCATAATGGTATAACTTTCTTTTTAAAAGAGATATTCACCATATAGATGTTGATGAATATGTGGTAGTACCAAATTAATTGAGAGCTCTGGAAGAGCCAATTATTACTATTTTGGAGAAACACAATTGATTACCAATAAGGTATTGTGTTGTAGTAAGTCTCAAAGAAACTTATTCAGTTTCCAAAGTATACGCGAAAGCGGTTGATTATATTGAGACTATAAATAAATGAAAGATTTAATATCTTCTATTACTACAACTTGTAGCGGGATAATATGTATGTGAAAAGCTACCCGCTTTATTCTCCAGTTTGTACTACACAAATAAAAGAATACCACACTAAAGTGGATGTTTATGATATAAAAACTCATATCATAATAAACTTGGAGTTTATTGATAATTGCACACGTCATGGTGTAAACCTGAAGTTTATCAATATTGATAATTTATTCAGTTGGCATAATTGGTTTAGCCATGTTAATTCAAGTATGATGTGCAAAAATAAAAGAGAATTCAAATGGGTAAATATTAAAGAACTAGAAAGTTCTTTACGAATTCTCTTACATTGCTTGTTCTCATTAATTAATAGACCAACTAAAATTGGGATTGAATCCCATGAATGCTGGAAATATCAAAGGTGAATATGGGCCCATTCACCCGCCATGTATACCACATAAGATGCATCTATGAGATGGTTACATGTGCAATTATTATTAACCCGCAACCTGGCCGGTGTGTGCGAGGTAACTTGCTCAATAATTTAATTTCGAGCATAATCTCCAAATTTTTTATTCAAGATAGTTTATCTTGATAAGTTGGTTTACATCACAATTGGTTTAGCAAGATGATTTATTAAGTGCCTCCACTTAAATAGCTAAACATTTGCTTATGAGAACAAAGTTTTGTTTATCAGTTTGATATACGTTATATACGAAAGTATATTATTTTCTCCCCTCACAAGTGGTTCAGGGTCAGGAACCAAATAATTCCATCTTATTATTATTGATGTGCGTTGTACATTTTGATTAACACCACAACACACAAAGGTGGATTCTCAAAGTTGAGAAAACAAGTTAGTTTTTCTAACATGAGGGGGAGACATGATAAACAGTTGAGAAAAAGTTACGTGGAATGAATTATCATTTGTACATCTAGATCCTCGAATAAGATAATATGAACTTGAAGTTCATAAAAGGATAATTCGCTTGCAATATATTGCAAAGCATGCCAGACGCATTTGTTGACCCAAAGAAAGTAACTATATTCTCATTGCAAATGCTCATATTAAGTCCTAGAAGGACAAAGTCTATGGTACGCTTGAAGCGTATAGACAAATCGGTTTCAAATAAACTTCTTGATAAAGAAGATGATCAAATGATCTAAATGATCATAACAAAGGAGACAAGTGATCTAGAAGATCACATGACATAACACTTCATAAAATCTCAGGAGAGATTCAGGTACTTGAAAATATGAATGAAGAGATCTCTATGTTATGTTTTTATGAAAAAATATTGAAACCGATATAAAATGTTTGTCGACGACATCTATAATACCGCTAAATATATATGAGGATTTTAAGTCTGAAGAAACAATTCGAATAGAATTGGTTTCATATGAAAGACATGTAGTTCAAACACTTGAAAGTATAAGTCAATGGTATGTGCAATCAGTTTTCGATATCTTATATGTCTAGCATGACATGAAAACTTGATATGCATCTAAAGTCTATTATATGACTTATATGACTTAACTTATATGACAATCCATGAAGGATTTAAGTTGCTTGAAGCATATACAATTCTTGATCTTGAAGTACCACTTCCTCAGTGCAATTTGTGCACAAATGTATCTTGCTATAACTATATGCATGATAATATGATAGCAAGAGTTTTCACCTCTATGTGAAGATATTGAACTGACGATTCCAACAAAATCATATGAAGACAATTCATCTCTATCAAGAATGATGATTTCAAGGTGCAATATATTCATTCAAGTTAATATGACTGATTTGTTTATCAAATCTCTACCAAAGATCTTTTGAAGATGGTGCACAAGATTGGAATGCAAATGCTTAAGGATGTGAATTGATGCTCTCATCAGGGGGAGTTAATACGCGTTGTACTCTTTTTCCCTTATAAGGTTTTGTCCCACTGGGTTTTCCTTGCAAGGTTTTTAACGAGGCAACCAAAAGGCGTATTGTTAGATATGTGTACTCTTTTTCCTTTTCTAGAATTTTTTTCCTATTGGGTTTTCTTTTAGTTAAGGTTTTAACGAGGCACATTATTTGTTGAATAGACATTCAAGGGGGAGTGTTATAAATAGAATTTTATTTATGGTGAATGTCTATATTTAAAGAGATTCTAGGGTTTATTACTTGGTGGCTAAGTCACCCTCTCCCTATAAATAGAGGGTTATATTCCATTGTAATTCATCCCAAATCAATAAGAATTCTCTCTCCCTACTTTTCTCTGAAATACTATTCTTTTTCTTTTATTGTTTCATAACAAATTAGTAATTGTAAATGAGGCTATTTCTGTTTTTTTTTTTTTTCCCCCCCCCCCCCCAAAACCAAAAGTCCGAACTTATTTTGGTTCGAGTACTGGTACAACAAATCAAACCGAACCGAATTTCATTAAACCCGAATTGAACCGACCGATGGATGCCTACTCCTCCTTTCCAGCAAAAAAACCAATTTATGAATTCACTCCTTATACCTCAATGCCCCGATACTCATTGGTTGCGGTGGCTGATCCACTAAACAACAACTCAATCTCGATACCCAAATCCTCTGATGCGCCTTCTTTATTGCAATTTCCTTTAGTTCCAGTATCAATTGCATCACAGTCCGAAGAAATTGAGGTGGAAGAAGAAACTAAAAACAGAGAAGAAAATAGTGAAGGATTAGCTCCACTCCACGAAAAAATCCATAAAAAAGGTTCGTTCTTTAAGAGATAAATTCCATCTTATTTATGTAGATTTTTTGGTGCGACAACTTTTGGGTATTTACTATCTTGTATGACTGCATGTCTTCAGTTTCGTTGTTTGGCTTTATTAGTCTTCTATTATCAAATGGACGAGCATATAATATATAGTGTACAATCTTTGTGATAAAAGATGTTGGTTTCGATTTAGTAGTTGGCCCCCAGTTTCTTTTGCATTATTATTTATCATTTAATCACTGCTTTCCTGAAGCCTGGTAAATTAATCTCAGCTGATTTTAAGGGCACGTTCACCTGAGCCGAGGGTTATCGGAAACAACATCTCTATCTTCACAAGGTAGGGGTAAGGCTGCATATATACTACCCTCCCCGAGCCCACTTGTGGGATTACACTGGGTGTGTTGTTGATTTTATGGGGCAAGTAGTAACAAGTTAGGTCGAACACTATGGCAGAAAAAAGCCTAGTAATTAAGTGGAGAAGAATATATCAATTATCCACATTGGCAAGCTTGGGCGTGCAAAGAGGGAAGGGTTGTTGAGTTCCCACCTCAGATGGGAAGGTCTGTTTATATGATCTTGCACAATCCTCACCTTATGAGCAAGCTTTGAGGTTGAATTACGCCCAAGGTTAGCATGTTGAAGACATAACTACGTAAACAAAACCGGCCTCTCTCCAATAGCTTTAGCTTTTAAATGAGATGGTCACTCACTTCAAGATTGGAATCAGAGCAAGGTTTTTGGTTCGAGTCTCACCGCCATTCGTTATCAAACAAAATTTCACGTGCTTGGCTCAGGATCGAGCCCACTTGTGTGGAACGTGTTGAAGACATACTTAAATAAATAAGATATGCTTTCTCTAACAGCTTAAACTTTTAGATGAGATGGTCACACAATTCAACTTGAATCACAGATAATGTAAAAAAGGACTGCCCTGTGCACAAAGCATCCTGCATTCACACGGTCCAGAGAAGGACCCCGCCCTACCTTAGTGCAAGCATTAGTGGCTGCTTCCACAGCTCGAATCATAGATGATATCTTTTTTATAATTATATCTTTTCCTATATTTGATGTCAATGCAATTTCCGGCTCACTTTTCTATTGTGGCCTTCACTGTTCTTCCTTGTTACCTCCTTTATAAAAGGAGTCTTTGTACAATGCTTTTAAAGGGAAAAACGTAAAAAAACGACAAATATCCATGTGTCTTGAAGCGAAAGGCGGGAAGGGAAGCGCATGCTTCTTTGAAGTGCATCGCACAATTCACAACATTAAAAATACCAAACACATGATTTAAAGTGTAATAATCAAATTGCTTTCCTCTGCCGATCCAAAAAAGTTTCCAACATACAAAAATGATTATATTAGTCCAACTCCTCAAAATTGATATTAAACGAAATGGCCACTTTTTTGTTGGGATCAATTTGCATGTCATCGTTTGATTCCGCATTTCTACGAAGCTTTATGGCTTCACCTATGAAGTGACAATCCCTTGCTCCACATCGCTTCATTGCTTTAAGCTACGAAGCAATGGCTTTTAATAACACTGCTATGAGATGTTGAGTCCATATAAGTTTAGAGTAAATCTGCACTATTTCATAGTGTCACTTATAGGGCGCAATCTTGAGATCCTAACTCCCTCCAAAGTATGGGTCATTCTTTTTGTTGGTATAATAGGCAAATAGACATCCATTCTTGCACGAAATTCTGTTCCAACACTCCAACTCCACGGATTATCATCCGAACTTCTTAAATGTTCAAAAACAGTGTGTTAAACACCTTTGACCGGTGATAGTGCTTTTGTGGCACTGAGCAGGAATGTTTCTAATTAATCTCTATAGCCCGTGGATGTAGGTGGGATTCAGCTCTATTGAGTTTGAGGGAATGGCATGCAGTTGTTTGTGGTGTTGGTGGCTTGTCTTAGAGGAAGGGGATGGTGAAGATTTAAGATGGAGAGATGGTGGCTGTGTGAACCAGTGTTGTCAAAGGCGCGCTTAAGCCCGGAAGCGAGGCTCAAAACATGTTGAGCGCTTCGCCTCGCTTTGTAGGCGTTTTAGTGTCGCATCAAGGTACTAAGGCATACTTTTTCTTGCCAATGAGTGTAATCCTGAAAAGGCGACATTAAACAATTGATATTTCACTTTATCGTAAACTTCTTTTAATTTCTTTGTCCATATATTTGTTATTCATGCTTATAATTATTAGTCTTGGACTGCATATACATATTTTTACTTTTTTTCCAGTTGCACCTTTTTTCATTAAAACCCATGCTTTATTTGCGCTTTGCGCTTAAAGCCCCAACGGACCTTAGAGCTTTTTTGCACTTTTCGCCTTTGATAACTTCTGTGTTAACTATGACCAATGCTGAAAAATGGTGGAGCTATGGATTTTGTCGGTGGTCAGTCTTCTATTAGGAATTAGTGTCAGAGTGAATTAGATTCTTGTGAGGGAGAAGATTACTGGAGGAGTTTTTCAAGGAGAAGATGGTCGGAAAACTTTGTGGTTAGAAAGAGAACTGGGATGGATTTGGGATTTTAATTTTTTTTAAAAGTAGCTTTTTGAAAATAAATGGTGATGTGGCCTGGTTTTATCTGATGTAGATACTGACGTGTATTCACGTCAACGCGATTAAGAAATACGCAAAGTAGTTTTAGGTAGATACGAAATTGTATTCACGTCAACACAATTAAGAGAACATAGAGTCAGAGGTATTTAAAACATTGGTTTTGAATAGTTTCAGATATCTAGATGAAAACCTGTGGAGTTGGGGGGTCAAGCACAAAAATCCATGCAAATACAAAACTCTATTTGCCTATTAAGCCTTTTTTTCCCCACTCTACCAAATGTGATTTCTTCTCGTCTTTTAGTTCCCACTAAAAAGTATCTCCAGACTTGAATCTATCAACTATAGTGGATGGGGTAAAACATAGCCACATACTATGTGGGTAACGTATAAAAATATCTTCAACTTTCCTCGCTTAGGCAAATGTAGTTATTCCAACTATTAAGCCTTTGCTTGAGAATTTTTCTATGACAAGGTGTTAGGGTTCTTTGTCCTTGAATTTCCTTCATAGAGGCAATCCCAAATACGTAATCAATACTCAATACTGTGACCACCTTCCTGTTTCACTCATGGTTAGTGTCAAAGTATGGATTCTTGCGCAACCCCAGCTAGTACCAATTTGGCCTTGTGTATGTATTCGCAGTCTCGGCACAACATTAAACATGCTACTAAATAAGTACGACAGTATTCTACCCTATGATTCACAAGGGTTAGAAGTATCATTTGCAAACAATAGATATAATACGGTGACCATTCCTTTTCTTTCTTGGCCAACCTCAAACCTTTCTTTTGAATTCCCTTAGACAATGTTTCCTCTATGATTATACTGAAGCTTGAAAGCCCCATTGCGATCTGATAAGGATCTCCCCTTTACCCCTCGGACTCTCTAAAGAATTCACATGTGGTGCCATTCAAGAGGACAAAAAATCTCATTGTAGATATATTGCCTAATATGTTTTCTCAGTCTAATCTTGTGTCTACCAACTCATAAGCTATCAAACAAGAAGTTTTCTCCTTGCAAATGCATATCGAGGCGATTTGGTTATCCAACACGAGTTTCAATATCCTTTCAAGTGTTATTGTCATTATTTTTAGATACTTCTCATGGCTAAAAAACCTAAATTCCTTAATATCATTAGCTCCACTCTATTTCGTAGTAAGCACAGCAAATGAACTTGAACTCTTGAACAATTTGAACTCTTATTGAAAGAACCCAAATAGTAAAATTCGGAAAGATCAAATGATCATCTAGAGTTGCAAATACCATGCATTAAAAACTTAGTGGTGATAACCTAACGTTGAGTTTTCTCCATGTATATGGATGTTGCCTAGACCATGGATTTAAGATGGTTCAGAAGTATTGATCAAGACCTTGTTTCCAATATTACGTGTCTCTTATGCATGCGCCTGTTGCCGTTACCAAGGAATTAGAGATGCTTAAAGGAGTTTTGTGGGACACTAAGAACGAGGTCAAAACTCGAAGGTAGTTACATCTTTGATAAAGAGGCAAAGGGGTTCGAGATGAGAGGTTTGAGTGTCTTCAACAAAGCTAATTCCGAGAAATAATAATGGGGTTTCGGCAACGAGGTGCATGCTTTATGAGAAGGAGGGGGGACTCTAGCTCAAACCAACCCCTATTGCCCCATTGCCATCCCTAAATATGGAAATATATGTAATGTAGGATTTCCTTAAGGTTTGTCCTGCACCATTATCTACTGGCCTTATTATTTGGCAATAAAGTTTCATGTGCCTTAACTTCGCTTGTGTGAGCTTGCTCATATTACTGGTCCTAAACCTGGATAAACCACATTGCTCATATGGGGTTGCGGTATGCTTGAAGCTAGCGTAAAACTTGACAATTTATGATGAATCCTTATATAACAAATATCATTGGGGTCTGCCTACCTAGGCATGCATGCAATCGACACCCAAATGTGAGAGAAAAATGGGCAAGGGGTTGTATCACATTGTCGCATGGGTGTGAGGAAGTATGAGCAAGGATTCCCACATCACGGAGAGGTCTTGGTAAAGAAGTTAGTTCTGCCACATCAGCGCCCAGATGTGGTGCAAAATATGAAAGGGATCCCATATCATGGATGGGTGTGGGTAAAGTAGCTAGTTCCACCATATAAGTGCGTGGATGTGGTGCAAAATAAGAAAATCTTCTCACATCATGGACAAATAAGGGTAAAAGAGCTAGTCTAAGAAAGTCGGATCCGGGTAGGTAGCTGGAACATAGGCACTTTGAGTGGATACCCTAAAAAGGAGGAGCGTGGATATTGCATGCTTATAGGAAACTAAATGAATAGGGCAAAAGCCTATAGAGATAGGTAACATGAGTTATAAATTACGGTATTGTGAGATAGGTAAAATAGGAATGGAGTGGAAATTATTGTAGAATCGAGACTTATAGATAAGATTATAGAGGTAAAATGAGTCGGAGATAGGATTATTGCACTAAAGATTATATGGCGAAAAGAGACGATCAATGATATTATTGGCTATGCTTCACAATATGATTAGATGTAGAAGTTATAGCTAAGTTTTGGAGGATATGTACACTTTGGTTCAAGGGATTCCGGGAGACAATAAATCTTTATAGGGGGAGATTTAAATGGTCATGTGTGAAGATTGTGACAGTTTTGAACAAGTACACTGGGATTATGGTTATGGTTACTAGGAATGACAAAGGAAAGGCCGTCTTAATATTCGCTTTAGCTTATGATTTAGTGATAGCTAGCACATACTTTAAAAAGAGAGATTCTCACATAATAACTTATATAAGTGGGGTTAACCATAGTCAAATAAACTTTTTCCTTCCAAAAAAACGTGAATAGAACTACATGCAAGGACTGTAAAATTATTCCAGGAAAAGTAATGACAACCCAACATAGGTTAATGATTTTAAATGCAAAGCTTAAGAGTAGAGTGGAAAAAAAAGACAATTTGCAAACAATCGCAGATTAGGTGGTCGACATTAAAAGGCGCTAACAACTAGCGTTTTAAGAAAAACTACCAGAGAAGGGAGCTTGGTATGTAGAGGGACGTACACATCCTGTGGAAGGAAATGGCAGGTTGCATTAAAAATGTAGTAACTGAGTCGTTAGGTGTGTCTAAAGATATAGGACTCGAAGACAGGAATTCTGGTGGTGAATTGAGGAGGTACAAAGAGTTACTAAAGCTAAAAGAAAGTGCTATAGGAAGTTTCCTAAAGCAGAAGACGAGGAAGCCTTTGGAGAAAGAGTACGACCTGCAAACAACCGCTAATTAGGTGGTGGGCATTAAAGGGTGCTTACCGATTAACGTTTTAAGAAAAACTATGAGAGAAGGGAGCTAAGGACATAGAGGAGGACGCAGACATTCTATGGAAGTAACTGTTAGGGTGCATTAAAAAAGTAACTGAATTGTTAGGTGTGTTTAAAGATCTAGGACTCGACCACATGAATCCCGGTGGTGAAATGATGAGGTATAAAGAGTTACTAAAGCTAAAGAAAATGCTATATGAAGTTGCCAAAAGCAGAAGACAGGGAAGCCTTTGAAGGATACAAAAGGGAAGCTAAGAAGGCTATTAATAAAGCTCGAGGGGAAGCTCTAGATGACTTGTACCAAAAGCTAGGGAAATAACGAGGTCACGGAGCTATTGGTCAGTTGTTCAACTCGAATCAAGAAAATGACATTTTGGACCTCTACACATCTGTGCGTGATAGAAACTTTAGCTACACTCGTAGAATTAGGCAAACAAAGGTAAAGGATGCCTTGAAAAATATGAGGATCGGAGTGCTTGTGGTTCAAATAGTATCCGGATAGAGGTTCAGAAGTGTGATGGAGAGATTGAAGTAGAATGGTTCACCAAGCTATTCAATGCTATACTAAAAAGTGGTAGGATGCCCGACGAGTAAATACACCGATTCCAAATTTTAAGAGCAACGGAAATATCAAAGTTGTGCGAACTATCTTAATATTGAGCTCACGAGTCATATGATGAAGCTATAGGAAAGAGTGATAGGGCGTAAATGTAAGAATATGCAAGTTTGATAGACAACCAGTTTGGGTTAATGCTTGGTAGATTTGTAACCAAGGCTATATTCTCGCGAAGAAGATTGATGAAAATTAATCGTAGAAAGGAATAAAGATCTACACATGGTGTTCATTGATCTAGAGAAAACATATGTAGAGTACCATGAGTTCCTTAGGTGGGTCATAGAGAAAAAAGGAATTCATATTAAATACTCCCTCTATCCTATCCTAATTATGTAAAGGGGTTCGGAGTACGAGGGTCAAATCACTTAATTGTTTATGTGAATTCGGTTATAGATTCTTCATATTTTTTAAAATAAAATTTATATATTTGCGAACTACATGAAATGTACTACAAGTCAACATAGGTAGTGATTCAAAATAAGAGTCTGAGAAAATCATAACCAAAGAAAAATTTGTTCGACTCCTAAAGAGTAATACCTTCACATAAAATGGGACAGAGAGAGTATATAGATGTCACAAAGCACATGTATGAATGAGCCGTCACTAGCGTGAGAATAGTAGTAGAAGATACAAAAAAGTTTCTCATAACAATGGGTCTACACCAGGGATCATTATTGAACCTCTACTTGTTTACCCTAGTTTTGGATGTGCTAACTAATACAATACAATATGAGGTCACATGGTATATGCTATTTGCTGAGAGTATTGTGTTAATTGACGAAACCGGCGTGGGCGTCAACCAAAAACATGAACTATGGAGATTAAAGGTTTTAGGATAAGTAGAAATAAAATTGAATACATGCACTGCAGGTTTAGTCAGCATGAGAAAAGCAAAATTGAGGTGAGACTAAACACGATTGCAGCGCCAAAATACAAATATGTTAGATATATATGATCGTTGTTTCAAGAGAATGGAATGATAAATGAAGATGTTACTCATAGAATTAAAACCGATAGTTGAAATGGAGAAGTGCTACTATCGGGAGTGTTATGTGATAGGAGGATGCCTACCAAGTAAAAGGTAAGTTGTACAAAAAAATTATAGGACCAACAAAATGCTAGTGAATGTTGGGCCACTAAATCTAACGTATTTACGAGATGAATGTTACAGAGATGCGGATGCTAGAATCGATGTGTGGTCATACAAAATTAGATAAGATAAAAAATGACCATATTATCCAGAAAGTGAAAATAACACACATTGAAAATAACATGAGAGAAGGCTGCTAGATAGTTTGGTCATGTCCTATATCGACCTAACAAATGCATCGGTCCGTAGGTGTGAAACTATGGCGAGTGAACGTGTTAAAAAAGAACAAGGTAGACCTAAAATCACATGTGAGGAAGGTGTCTTAAAATACCTATAATTTCTTGGAATCAATACAGAGGAGTTAAAAATAGGGCACAATAGAAGAAAAAGATCCATATAGGTAATATCTACTAGTTGAGAATAGGTTTATAGCCTGTTTGGCCAAGCTTCTTTTTGGCCAAAAATTGAGGTGTTTGGCCAAGCTTTTGGAAGGAAAAAAAGTGCTTTTGAGGAGAAGCAGAAAAAAGTAGCTTCTCTCCAAAAACACTTTTTTGAGAAGCACTTTTGAGAAAAATACACTTAGAAGCAATTTTTTAAAGCTTGGCCAAACACTAATTGCTGCTCAGAAGTGCTTTTCAAACTAATTAGCCAAACACAAACTGCTTCTCACCAAAAGTACTTTTGAGAAAAGCACTTTTAAAAAAAAGCACTTCTCAAAATAAGCTGATTTTTGCAGCTTGGCCAAACGGGCTATTAGTCTTGTTAGTACGTTGATTTTGAACCTATTGCTTTTGTCTAGGAGTATTTTGACCTTATCATAAATTTAATATTTCAACTATTATTTATAGGTATGTAACTTATTTTTCACTCTTATTTTTATTTGGTATGTTGATGACATGAGTTGAGCTTTAATGGAGAGACATGGTTAGTGAGGATGCATATAGCCGATCCCAACTTGTTTGGGACTAAGGCCTAGTTGTTGTTGTAAGATTTCGTGTGCACGGTAGATCTGGTAAGACAGACAATGGTTTTCATGCTTAGGCAGAGTTTTCGTGTAGATAAGTGTTAGGGTATCCACCAAAAAGTTGTCTATTGCTATGTGGCTTACTCTGATCTTTCTTCCTTGTAGATGGAACCCACATTCTGGAGCCTGTGGGTCTTGAAGAGCACTTAAGATCAGGAATTTCTACTCCAAAACAATCTTTAGTAAATCCTGATACCACTATGCTTGAAGAGGGTAGTGGCAGTTGCAGAATATCTAATTCAGATGAAAGAAGAGAAAAGAATGATTCAAGTTTGGATGGTGAGAACTCTTGTTAAATTAAACGGGAAACATTCCGATATTACTTATCAATTAAAAAAATTGAACATTCTGATCTCCTGTAACAAGAGTCATAGAGATTCACGGGGATCCTGTTGGGGCTCTTGCAGGAAAAAGGACGGTCGTGCTTTCTGATCCTCAAGCTCTTGGATACAGTGGGAAAAGGATAACCCATGAAATCCAGCCTTTTGATCATAAAGCAAGTGCTGATATAGTAAATAGTGATGCTTCTAGCAAGGAGGTTATTGGTGCCCAATTCTCTGAAGGAGGAGGTCATCAAGAAGCGTCGGAGGATTTACGACAAACGTCATCAAGGTTTATTATACTGGTCCTGGTTCAATTCTTTAGTCGTACTAGGAAGTTGGGTCTTATGCTGCTTTTGAATATCTCCTTGTTGGAAGTTTGTTTTGGTTATATTTCAAGTAGAACCAAGTCTTGATATTCTGGATTTTCCAGGTTGGATGTTCCGAAGATTAGGCTAAGAAGTTTGTCCCCCGTTGATGATTCTAGTGGTGGAAACAAAAGACCAGCAGATAGAAGTGAGTTTTACTCTAGAAGTTGGTGCGTCAAAGGAAGGGATCCTCTAACTAGCCATGATAAGGATGGTGTTTTAGATGCTGCAAAGATGAAAAGCAAACTCATAGATGGAGAAGGTAATATCAAACTAGTTTTATAGGAATGGGTTAACCTTAAGTATTGCACAGCCTTGCATTACTAATCCTGACAAAATTAACTTCTGCCTTATAGGTTCAAAAAGTACCACTGAAAGACTAGCAGCAGATTGTTTTTCTGATTTGGCACCATCTGCAGTTCGAGGAGAAAATCAAAGGTTGAATAGTGACATTGAATTGCATATGCATAGCGATGAGCATCGGTCAAACATGCCGTTTAGAGACATCGGAAGGGAGACTCTTGGATGTAAATCCTACTTGGCTGGTTATGGAAGCTCTTCATCACTATTACTCAAAGATGATTCTCTTAATAAAGATAGCTATCATAGTGGAGTGCTTCTAAGTAGCTCAGTACTCTCATCTTACAAGTATCAGAGCGCTGAAGTTCCGTCTTATAGCTCAGTTTTGGACGACACGGGTTATAAGAGGACCCAGCTTATGCTCGGAAATCATCATTATCCACACTTGAATCACTCTGTGGATAGGTGGCCTTCTTATCTTACTTCTTCTTCAAACCTAGATCCGGTTAGTGATCAGAAGCTTTTAGACCATAGTCGAGAATATTGTTCTTCTAGGTCAACCTCAAACAAGTCTTCAGCACTTCCTGGTTCTGGAACTGAACCTTTCTCTTGGACTGATTTATCAAGGGACATGGAACACTCACGTGATTATAAGACGAAGGTGTATTTTGATTACTGGAAGCCTTCTGTGCCTTTTCAACCATCAACCTTTCTTAGTCAAATTATTCCCCCTCCAGAAAGTCTGTATGATCCGATTCGTGATAGCATTGAGCAAACCAGCGCAGCAGAGAAAGATTTGACTGCCGATGAAAGAGAAACAGCTGATAGAGCTACAGCTCATCAAGAAAACGTGAATACCTCTTCAAAAGAAGAAAAGCACCCAAGATCAGTTAATCCCAGAGGCCAAAAAAGGACACAATCAAAATTAGAGAGGCCCAGACACAACTATGAAATTGATAATGACTTCAGGAGAGATGGATCTGTGAACTATGAATCAGGAGTTTTGAAGCACTTTCGTGCTGCTCTTGTGGAATTCGTCAAAGAATTGCTGAAGCCAACTTGGCATGAAGGTCTCTTGATTAGGGATGCATATAAGATGATTGTTAAGAAATCAGTAGATAAGGTCATTAACTCTTTGCAACCTGATCAAATTCCTGATACGACTGAATCCATTAAGCAGTATCTCTCTGTTTCTAAGCCAAAAGTAGCTAAGCTCATTGAGGTGAGTCAACACTTTGGAACAGTACTCGCTGACTGTGGCTGAGTCTTTCTTCCCTGAACTTGACAATTGATTAATCTGTGATTGCAGGGGTATGTGGAGAAATATGGAAAATCCTGAGATGAGTTTTGCTCTACGTGCTGCCATCAGTCAGGAATTGGTGAAACACGTCACTGTGGGACAAATTTTGTTTCTACTAAGGGGCTAGAATCAAAATATTAATTTTGCGTATGGATTTCTTCTTATAAGATAAGACCTTTTTTGCTGCTTTATGGCTCGAAAGTGTTTGGAATCATCTATGTTCACTTGGTAATAATTTGATTCAATCTTGGTAGGGAAATAATATTTGCTAATGTGTCATCATCTTCGGTGGAGTCAACTACTAGATTACTCTCACAAGTTGGAAGGTGGTGGGAAAACGAGGAGGACACAGCGCGAGATCTATTAGCAGCCAATTCTCCATACAAATAGAGGCATCTATCTGAAAGATACTTTAATGGCTTTGGCGTGAAGGTCTCATTAGCTCGTATAAGGCTCCAGGTCTGAAGCGTAGTTTGTGCTCTTTGCACTTTTAAAAGTTAGGAAACTAAAACATCTTAATAGTTGAAGGAAGGTAATAAAGACGAGTAGGAGCAGATTGTGCCTTTGAAGATAAACAAACACGACATTTCGTTAGTAAGGGAAGTGTCAACTTCTTTCTCCAGGGTTACATGAAGTAGATTGGGAGGTCTTTCATCCCTTGTCTTTGAATAGGGGAATATGTCCTCATAAAATCTTTCTCCAATCAACTTAGCTGGTTAGATATTGACTAGTGCAAGCAATACATGAAATAAACTAGCAACCATAGTTCGTGACAAAGTATTGGATAGCAAGCAAGGATACTTTTGTTTGTTTCTTCTCCACTAAGCATGGGAGTTTATAGATAACTATAGATCGGTGGCTACCTAGTGAACTTTGATTTGATCCCCTTGAGTAAGAGGCACCCACCTCATCTGGGGAGAGGTTCACTATGATGGGAGGTTCTTGACTGGGAAACGGAGGTTTAGCTTTGAGCAGCTTTTTGTTCATTCAATCCTTAGATAAGGGTGTAATGGTCAATTGTGCTAGACATTCTTTTTGAGAAGGAAAAAGAATTTTTGAGAAGGAATTGTGCTAGACATTCTTGTACTTTGAAAAGTATAGTATTCCATGTGAGGAACAACCAAACTACTAGATTTGTTGTGCATATGACCTTTTCAATGGCCATGGTAACCAATTTTGACATATAGGATATCTTAAGAGCTTGAAGTACTGCATGGGAGATTGAGGCAAAAAAACGCGAAGTGATTTCTTCCTTTCTGCCTAAACTTCGGTGGGCAAAATTACTTGGCATCCGTGTCAATGGGAGGTAAGTAGGTACTCAGTGGCATAGTCGCAGTGTGTGCAAGCTGGCTCGAACACCACCAAAATTTTTTAAAAATACTTCTGTAACAGGTAAAAAGGAGGTCATGTGGAATTTGGTTGCTATAGTTAACACTATTTCTCTATGTTGATAGAACTGTGGATTTTGTATTTACATGCGGACCTTTTGAGTGGTACTCTGCCAAAAACAGTGCAATAGTATGGTCAGATGCAATGGCATTCTCTGGTGGGTAATCTATGTTGGATTGCAATCTCCTTGGCTCTATAGCCATCTCATTAAGCATTGAGTTGTTAACTAAAGTTGCGTAAGAATTATTCCGAGTCTAATCATGTGTTGAACCAGCAGGAAGTGCAATGAGTTGGATGTTTAATTAGTGAGGATCCAGTCTAAGATAATTTAAGTTTTATTTGTGGGGCCAAGCAAATACTATGCACTAAGGGGTCGTTTGGTACGCGGACTAAATTATCCCGGGATTATAGTCCTGGAATTATATTCCCTAGATTAATTTATCCCACCTGGGAGGTGGGATAAAATTATACTAAGTTTGATGGAATAAGGTGGTATAAGATTGGGATATCCAGGATTAAGTCCGGGACTAAGTTTATATTATGTTTGGTTGACAGTATAAATTTATCCCGGGATAAATTTATACCGTCAACCAAACAAATATAAATTTAGTACCACACCTTATTCCACCTTATCCCGCATACCAAATGACCCCTAAGAGATAATTGGAAATTTTGGCTTGGAACAATAGGAGTTTTCTTGAGCCTTTAGTTGTATAACATGGCAATGACATAGTTTGCAGTAGAACTAGTTATTGAGCATCCTATGACATGTAACGATGTGCAAACGACATTAGAAGTGACACTAACTGTTCTTTTGGCTTGAAAGCAAAGGTCAATAGCGCAATAAAGGTCCTAGACAGTGCATTGCAACTTCTTTGTTAGTCTAAGTTAGTGGCTTTTGGCTAACTCTTCTTATATTAGTTGGCTCTTGTTTGTGGAACTTAAAAATCCTCCTGATTTCTGTATTTATCGCAATTATGCCCTTTAGGTTTCATAGAGCATTATAAATGACGTGAAATTCAAAGATTTTATAAGGAATCTTAACCTTAAACACTAAATTCTTCCAAAGGATAGCAAATGCTGAAGCACATGCATTGTTTTGTTGCTCATTCTATGCTTCTGTTAGTTTTAATGTGTGGAATTGCAGAAGAATAAAATTTCCATCTAGATTATTGGATTGAACATAGTTCCGCAGAGGCAGTGTTTGAGGAAGCAGTAGATCCTAAGCCAGAATAGGCGATGAAGGAGCAACGGACACTGCTGGGGCATCATATTTTGAAGGGATCACCTGAGATGAACAGAGTAAGCTTACGTAAGTCAGCTACTTAAGAAGGTAATGAGTAGAGGATCCTATCAAAACTGTCAAATTCTTGTCATATGAAAAGGAAATTTCATAGTCAGATTACAATATAATATCCAGCTCAGACAGAAATAGGATTCAGTGGTCATGTGCATATACTTTGGAAGAGTAAGACAACTCTCAAAGCAGAGGCGGACCAATGCTATACAGAGAGGGGTCACTAGCACCCGTAAAGTTTTGCAAAAATTCCATATATACATGTATGTCTTTAGAAAATAGTGATATATTAGTAGTGGGCACCCTATATACAAAGCAGATTTTGGTTGAATCTAAAAGTGCACCCGCGACCATCAAATCCTGGGTTCGCCTCAGTTTCAAAGAGTCTTGCTTTGGATGGATAGCAAATTTATAAGCTCCTCTGATGCAGAACAACTATCGAAAATTTCTTCTACGGATGTATATGTATAGGGATGATATTGTTGATACTAATCGTCTATTTCAGCATTGTGCAGATGTCAGGCAGCTCGCGAATGTATTTATCTCACTCTTTAGTCTTACATTGGATCAGTTGTAAACTGTCGGCGAAGCCTTAACAAGCTAGAGGCATAATGATCATGGACGCATTGCAAAACAGTCTCTGCAGAAAGTAGATAGGCTAGTTGGAAGGAGATAAACCTGAGATATTTAAAAGAACTCTTTGCTTTTTGGTGTAGCCTGAAATATGTAAATGAAGTAGATGCTAAATGCTAATGATTTGGGCCTTTTTTAGCACCCTGCGTAGTAAAAGTGGCTATACTTGCGTAATAATCATGTGAGTTCTAGTAGGGCCCACTTGTTTCTGCTTTCTGTCGATGAAAAAGTTCTTTTCTATGTAGTAGAAGCTGTATCCCTGAAATCTCTATATGTTGTTGCCCTTATATTTGCTTATTTAGCTGCAAATACAATTTATTCAACTTTATCTCCTGTTATGTGTGTTTTAAATTTTAGTTGAGGTACCCGCAAGCTGGCCCAGACACCACGGTTATAAAAAAAGGTATTGCCTCCCGTCTTCACTGGGATAGGAGAAGACGCCAGGAAGGAGAATATCTGGTGTTGGTGGTGAGATAAAAACTAGGCTGAAAAAATCCATCAATGTCTAAATAAGTCTACCAATCTCTTAGTATTTCAGTGACATGGATGCCAATGTATGTAATCTAGTCACAAAGCTAAAACTCTTACATGTCTTAAGCAAACTAAGGAGGTAGAAGGAACTGTATTATTTATATTTAAAAAGAAGGAAGCATGAATGTTTTTCTTCCCATTATTTACACTGACAATTTGAAAATTCAGCCAGTGACAATTTGAAAATTGAAGGTGAGTCTTGGCGTAACTGGTAAAGTTGTTGCCATGTGACCAGGAGCTCATGCGTTCGAACCGTGGAAATAGCCTCTTGTAGAAATACAGGGTAAGACTGCATACAATAGACCCTTGTGGTCTGGCCCTTCTCTAAACCCCTCGTAAAGCAGGAGCTTAGTGCACCAGACTGCTCTTTTAACCGGCCAAAGATTCACAAAGAAAAGCATTATGTGCTATAATAGAGCCTTGAAATGTTGAAATCACCAACTGAAGTTAATGTACTCAAATTGTAGGCTGGCTGCTAAACCTGATGAATATATGTCTGCAACTTCATGCCTCATCTTCTTTGGTTCACACAAAAGAACTCCAACACTTATTCTTTCCTCTCAGACAGAATTCCTGCGACCAATTTACAAAACCAACATACTTTTAAGAAATCCCTTTATTCCCACCCAAGTTTAAACGGCTTGAGTTATAATCCATTTGTTGAAGAGCCCGAAATGATCCATCAAACTAGTGGCTCAAAACATATAAAAAAGTGCAACTCAACGGGTTAAAAATCAAATCTGAACATACATATAAAGCTCAAAGAATTTAAGCTAATAATTTCAAAAATACATAAAGCCTTGACATTCTTTCTTTTTTTTTCTTTCCAAAAAGAAAATATAGAAGGAAGAGAGGTTGAGTCATGTTAAGCAAGTCCGACTATGACCGCCTATTTGACCCATCTTAATCCAGTTGATTCAAACATTGTCTCTATCCTGAAATATCTATCGAATATGTATAAATTATTAATTTGGAACCTAGTAACTTAAACGAACTACAATACTGAACCCATAAGGTTCAAATTCTGGCTCCGCCTCTATCTTATCCCAATCCATTTTGATCCACAGAAATTTTGGCCGGGCTAGATCATTATTCGTTTATTGATTAGACCCTTTTTGACACGCTCAAGTTTGACCTCTGAGTTGAAAGCAATAAATCCAGTTAAGCTGGCATAACCACACTTAGATCCGCTTAATCATCATACTTAAACTGTATCTATTCATATCTTTGTAATTCCAAAACGAAGATTATTAGATTGACAAGTGACTGCATTTGGTGAGACCATTGGAGTTTCCCCTTCCATGTTCTGATTTTGTTTGGCTTCCATCTCTTTGTTTGTATGAATGTGATTATAAAAACAATAGATAAATGTAGAGCTGTCAATATGGGCTTTGCCCGTCGGGCCTAATAAAAATATGTATTTAAAATATATAAAATATAAAAATTATATTACACAAAAAATATCAGAAAGAGTATTCCAAGTTTAAAATTTATTAAGCTCATCATATTAAAAGATCAAAGTCCTAAAACGTTTATTAGTTTTAAAAATTTAATTATTTTTAATATTTAACTAACTAATTTTGCATACAAATTGTAGATGTAGATGAAAGTGAAGATGTTAAGACAACCTTCTCACAAGCGAATTCAAATGTGTTTGATGAAGATGATGTGTTGGATATCCTATAAGTGTCATGGACGTTCTTTTGAATAGTTTGTTTTGAGTTTTGACTTTTAGTGAATGAAATATAGTCTTGTCTTTTACTTTTTTTTAGTGTTTATTGATATATTGGAACAATATAAGTATTAAGTTTTGTGAAATTTTTAAAATAAGATTTTTTTAACTTTTAAATATTGATCTTTTTTTTAAGTTATAACTTGAAGAAAAAATATAAAATTATATTTTAAAAAATGATGGGCTGGCCCGTGGGGGCCCGCAGCCCACATAGGGCTAGGGTGGGCTGACCACTATAATGCCCATCAAAATGATGGGCTAGCCCAGCCCAGCCCATCAATTGCTAAAGGCCACGTGGGCTGGCCTGGGCTAGCCCGGCCCCGCCCATATTGACAGCTCTAGATAAATGCGACCTATAAAACGCAATCAGCAAATGCGAACTTATAAAATGTAATTACTACAAATGCTAATCATAAATAACATATATGTAATATCTAGTCAACACTGGTTTTGACCCATTGCCCGTCTCTGCTATATGGAGCTTTAGCTCATTCACTTCCACGAATTTGTGCCCTATTTAATCCATCTAGCACAATCTTTTTGGGTAAGAGTAAATTTTATTGATGCTTTTATCAATAGAGTAACTGTAATATCGAGTCAAAATCCCCAAGAAAAGGAGGAAAATTATGAAAGAAGATGATATTATGACACAAAGCCAACGCCAACTGTTTTTGTTGTTTTCTGCCATCATGAGTTGTTTTTCTCTCGTTACATAAGCCTCAACTTGAAGATTCAGTTTTGAGACAATGAAAAGTTAAATAAAGTTCGATAGAGAAATATATGTTCAAAATAAGGGTTGTCAAACATAAAATAATATGAAGCAGTATCACCTCGGAGTTAATTTTATCCATGGTCATTGAACTTTTTGGTTTGTTACCCAAAAGTCATTTTTTTTTGTTACGTAAAAATCATTTAACTTTGTGTTCATGACACAAAAGTCACTTTTCTTTCTTTTGTTACACAAAAATCATTTTACTTTGCTCTAGTTATCACAAAAGTCACATTTTTACTTGAAAAGTCTATTATATCCTTGATATTTTATAAACCTTCATATTTATGTGATACCTTCTATATTATATACTATATAATATATTTTTACCTATGTATTTTATTTATAAAAAAATAACTTAATATATTTTATTTTTTATTTTTATAATATATTCGTACATTTAACTTTTTTCTTAACGTTAATTTTCAAGATATATTAGTAGCGTTATTAAATTTGTCAGTAAATTTAATATATAATAATAGAGAAATAAATCGGCAAGTACATTTCTGTGAGAAAATTCGTAGGTAAACAAACAAAGAAAATGCGATAAAATCATATGTTAATCTGAAGGAAAATCCCTAGGTAACTTTACATGCAAATTTAGTTGGGGGTATTTTTTTGGGGATTTACTGGGCAATTCGTTATTTGGAAAATTACACTACTAGAAATTCAGGAAAAGCCGTCCAAAAATCCGACTAAAGTTGGTCGGTAATGGCCAATAACCGTCCAAAACGCGACCATTAACGTGTGGTCGGTATTTTGAAGGTCGAAAGGGCATATCGACCAAAGTTGGTTAGAAATTACCGACCAACTTTGGTCGATAATTAAATTCAAAAAAAAGAATTGCTGAAAAAAAGTTATTTTATAATGCTACTAATATATTTTTAAAATTAATGTTGAGAAAAAATTAAATATACGAATATATTATAAAAATAATAAATAAAATAATATTAAGTTATTTTATTTATAATTAAAATACATATGTAAAAATATATTATATAGTATATAATATAGAAGGTATTACATAAATATGAAGGTTTATATAAATAGGAAAAATGATTCACCCAAATATTGAATGATGTGGAAGATTCTTCCTCCTGACAACAAAGTGTGGCCAATAACTAAGAAAATGGACAATGCTTTCTTGGATCGTGTGAGTAGAAAGGTAGAATAATCAACAAAATCAATCACTGTGGAAAGATAAACTTTTGTATTTTCTCTTAAGAGTCAACTTCTTACAAGAGTTCTTCTCATAATGAATCTCACGTGCCTTTTTCCCTCTCTCTCCTCTTCTATTTATATGGGTTGTTCTCTAAAAAATCCTAAAAAAGTACAACAAAAAGAATATTCAAGGGAATATTCCTGTCGCTAGTTCCGAGACTACACTAGCCGTTGTTCCTACTCTTCGCTACTCGACCTCTGCTTTAACGACCCGCTCAGCGATTGCTCGTTGTTGGGTTTGATCGACCTCGGCCTGGCCACCCAAATCGAATCACAGTCTTCTCACTTAACGATCTTCCCACGCCTAATTTCCTAAGCCGAATTTTGACCCATACAGTTAGTCCCTTCGCTTGTCGAGGTCGCCTTCTGGTTGGCCTCGATGAGCGGACTTTACCAGTTGGCAACTTAGGAAAAAAATTTGGCGTGGTGAACGAGTAGAGGTGTCCGTAGCCGAAATAATGACGTGTCTCTCTGAGAGTCGTGGATCATGGGGTTGGTGCATGATGATGTCATGATGCATGCATCATCATTGTGCATCTTTCCGATGTGTTGCCTCGTTCCTCGAGCTCCTACGTTTCTATTCTAGGGCCACTGGCGGTTGCTTGCATTGATTCGAACGCCTCTGATGTCTATAAATAAAGAGGGGAAAACTTCTCAATGGAACTTTTGCATTCTCCGATTTCTTTAGCCCTGCACTCGCTTCCCTTTCTTCTTCTTGTGTTCTTGCTTCCTGCAACTGCAGCCGTTGCCACCCTTTCTTCTTTTCCGGTTCTACCGTATACATATTAGCGAAAAATGACTAACGTGGCCCCCAACACTAAGACGATCTCTGACCCTACTCCACTATCGGTGGCCATGCCTTCTAATGGCGGAGAATCAGCGGTTATGGAGGATGAGAGCTTCCCCATCGTGGAGGAGATCGTTCCTTGTAACCCTACTTCCAGGTCCGACTTCTCTAAGGAACCCGCCCATGACCCCGTGCCTGCAAAATCTGAGATGGAGGCGAAGCACCTTGCCG